GAAAATATCAGGCTCCAGGTATATTTCTGAGATGGTTTCCTCATTTGTTTTGTGTAACTTGTTTGTGAAGAGGAGATGGTTATCTGCTCGTATATTTAGTTAGTCGGAGGAATTGCACTCGGAGTAGGTACAATTTGAGCAATCCTAATCTGCCCCGTTCTGTCCTAAATCTTCTGTGTTAGTGTGTATTCGAAAAAATCTAAGAAGATAAGCAAATAAGACCAAAAAAAAAGGCAAGAAAGAGATGACGGATACAGAAATAGGAGAGTCAAACACACGCTTGATTTCTAAGACAATAACAAGCTGACAAATAAAACCTTTATATCTGTACCTGTGTGGAATAATATAAAAATACAATTCTTGGTTTGTTTAATTAGAAAAATGCCCTTACAGTTAACTGAAATGCTACAGTAACTCAATCGCCGACGAAATCATTAGCTCTAAAAAATTGCAACAGTGACATGAAAACATAACAGAAGATGAATGGAAAAGGGAACCCGATAATGCCGCATTTAACAGGATTTGTTCTCCTTAAGGACACCGTTAAAAGGAAAAGAGAAAGTATGCTTGTGTCTAGATTCGATTACTTTTAAGTTGTGTTAAACGTTTAAACTTTCCATTGCGGTATTTACGCAAAAAGCTAAACATGTTACTTTGATTCCTACCATTTTAGAAGTGTCGGTTATCGGAGTTTATGAAACAAAAATTTACAAATGTTATTCAACCAATTTTACACATACAAATTTCCGCACAGCCCTGCTATCCCCTCAGTTTTTGGACTGACGCCAGTCGGGCCAAAGAGTACTTAATAATCAGAATTCTGCTTTCTCCGAAAGCCCTGAAATGTGTAGTAATTTTATTTTGACTGATTTCTTAATTAGCGGTGCACAGCTAAACAGTGGTAGACTACAATATACGAAACTACCACTAGAGGACTCTGCACCATTTTTCTTACTTTGCTTTACGAACTGCATATGAAGACAGTTCACTGATCAAGTTCGTCTAAGACTGTCGAAGGATTTCAGTTTTTTATCATATTTAAATTATTCCTATTCTAAATATAGAAAAAATACTATGAAAATAGCATAGCATTAAGCCAGAATGCACAATCTACTTTGTAATTTAATGCTAAATTTTAAACGACATCATACATTCTCGCTATATTCTTTGTCATTACTTTAGATTTTGCTTTCTGAACTCGGTTGAATGGTATAATATGGAACACATGTAAAACAACCGAATGGCTTGATTTTCTTATAATAATAAAACATATTGTAATATAATATTAATATAAAATATAAAAATATTGTGAACTCACTTAATTAGAATGTGAAATACTGTAACATTGGTTTACAGACATAGACATAGTAATTTGTATCACTCATCTCTAACAGTGTCATTGATCAAATTATTGAGGATCCTATATTTAACAGTGAAGTTTCCTTTAAATTTCCTTTAAATTAACTGAAATTGTTCATTTTAGCAAATGGAATTTCTAGTGAAATAACTATTGTATTTCTAAAGCTTTGTGGCATTGTACATTAATATAAAATATGGTAGTTGTAGCCAAAGATGAAGGGTGTCAGCACTTTTCTCTAACCAGTCAGACCGGACTCTGTACTAAAAGCTGAGTGAATATTTTCATACCATTAATTCACAAGCTCATTTCCCTATTCTTTTTTTAATTGGTGCTATGTTCAAGTTCAGTATATTTTAGTCCTCTAGCTTTTTGCTGAGGTACCAGGTATTGCATTTCATTCTGTATTGTTCTTGCAGACTGCAGCTCTGTATTACATGTACTGTATGCCACATCATCTAGATTTGTTTGAGCACTCTATGCAGTGTTGTCTTATAATGTTTTTAGAATAATCTAAAACAGTACACTATTCAATTAAGTATAAATTGCAATGGTGTTATTAGCCAATAAGATTGAACATGAATTAATAGTAATAATGTTTGTAGTATTCTTTCTACTGCTATTGTTCTTTATCTAAAAAATGATGATGAACATATGTAAAGTTGGGAGACACAGTGGTGCAGTGGTCAGCATTTCTCCCTGGTAACACTGGTTACCTGCGTTCAATTCCAGACCTGGGGAACTATCTGTGTGGAGTTTGTATGTTCCCCTCGTGGATTTCCTATGGGTGCTTTGGGTTCTTGCCATGGTCCAAAAACATACCTCCTGGTAAGCTGATTGGCTTCCGGGAAAAACTGCCCTGGTGTTTGTGTCACTTTTCCCAGTGATGGACTGGAATCCTGACCAGGGTGTATCCTGCCTTGTGCCCATTGCTTGCCAGAAACGTCTCTGGCTCCCTTGCAAGCCTGAACTGGAAGAAGATGTTAGAAAATGAATGGATGGATACATTTAGCTTTAATGAGACATGTAGGAAATATGACTAAGGCCATGAAAAGATTATATGCCTTAAAATCCCATGGCATATATTCTAGGTATTATCTGAGTGATCATGAACTCATTTTGCTTTTTTGTATGGCCACACACATACATCCCTGTCCCTACTTTACTTATAATTGAATACATACTTAAAGTTTTAAGTATGTATATACCTCTTTACTACAAGTATATATGCTGTATAAAACAGTACAGTACAGTATATCATGAGCTGTCATTACAGTATGTTCAGAGCATCCTGAAATAACAGTAAAGGTTTACAGTATCACCTAGTAAGACTTCTACACCAGTTCATAATGATGCATGCTGTAGGAAAATTTTAAATGTGTTTTATTACCTGATCCAGGTTAATAAAGCAACAGGATAAATGTACACATTAGATACAACAATCGAATTGGCTAAATACAGAACACTGTATCTAATCTGACCAATTTTATGGGCATTCACAACACACCATGCACAGGAAAACAAAATCTAAAACAAGCCATTAAAGCTAAAAATACTACATCTATCAAAGAACTATATTTACTTTTAGGTCTCCATTATACATGGAAACTTGAAGAAAAGAAAACATCATTTTTTAAACAAATTGATCTGAAAACTTTTTTTCTGATGCAATCTTGGGCCATTGATCAACACTAATCAGCTCCTAATCTGCGTTCTTTTGCAGAAAAACAACAGTTTATCAAGTTTTGTCCTTTAACTTTCAAGTCCACCAATCAATACATATTGGCCTATCTGCAGCTGTGATGGGATATCAAGATGAAAAGGCCTGAGGACTGGTGTTCAATAATAACTGATAGCTGACAAAACTATTGGTCTGAGAGGTGATAAGGTAGACTAGGCTTATAAAGAGATTTTTGACAATGATCAATGCACTGCCCCAGTGAGCTTGTTAATCATTAGAAAGAATAAGGGCTTTCGTTAGAAGCACAGAGCCATACTCTATTCAGGTTTGACTAAGCTTTTATTTTCCTTACTGACCCTTTCCTCTAACATAAGAGCCTTGAGGGGGGGTAGATACAGACTGCTCTGAAGTCTTTTCAAAATGAATCCAACTTTCTGAAGCTAAGTTCACCCCTGCACTGAGCTTGAGTTTTAGGTTCATTCCAAAATTATTACTGGGTTTAATCAATGTTCCACAAACGTTTTATAATACGCATAAATGTTTTAAATTAATGTTTAATAAAGTCTAGACGTTCAAGCTGTATTGATACAGTATGTCTCCAAAATATAGCAGTTAGGTCTGCACCAGAGAGTAAATTGTGTTGCTGCTCCGAGAGGACCTGTCAAAAGCACCTGCTACTAAATCACAAGCACCTGCTAATAAAGAAAACAACTACGTGTTTACAGAAAGAGTATGCTTGAAGAAAACAAGAATTGAACAGAGTCTGGTGTGTTGCTCCAGCATAAAACCTGCGCTTTAGTTTCCAAAGAAACAGATTGCCATGACATCCATGACATTAGCAATGTTGTCTCCACATACCTTGGGCATTACCATCATTGTTTGGGTCCTAGGTTTCGCACAGAACCCATTTACACTGATCTCTGTTGCCAAGGGTTAGGAGTGAAATGTTCATGGGTCTGACGTGCCTCATCAAAGCCCCCCCACCAGCTCCAGGTGAGCCGTGGAGCAGAGATCGCCCATGCTGGGCTCCTGTCTGTTGGTTCTGCGAGGTGGGGAAGAGGTCATGGCCAAAATGCACAGTGGGAAATTACACTCAGGAATCCATTACAGCCTGACTGTGTGGACAGCGGTCAAGGAATGTAGCTTGTCAACCTTGTTAAAGTACAAAAAAAAAACAGTGATAAGAAAATGCAGATTTCGTTGAATTCACCAACAGCCTGAGAGACTTCATTGGTGAATCACTGGCAAATGCAAATGAGTCAGAGCCCTGCATTCTATTTTCATTAATGTTCTATTAATATTGACTGTATCACAAATAGACATGTACTGTATATTTATACTTTTATCACCGGGGTTTTGGCAAGCATGTTACCGTCTTATTCTGAATTCCAAAACTCCCATAAAAGTAGAGGTTTTAGATGAGCGGAAATCTAATCCTAACCTCGTCACTTGCTGTAGCTGACACTCCAGATTAACAAGGTATCGTCGCGGATGTTATTAGCGTTCATTTACGTACACAACCAGCTGAAGATGAGATGTTCTCCTTTTAATAATAGTGTCGCCCATGGCATCACTGACTCGAGTACTAACGGGAACACGTCCTGTAGTTTTATTTCGGTTCTCTAAAATTGACCGCACAAGGGTAGGGCCCGTTTTCTCTTTCGAATCACATATTTCACTTGAGAGTCCCTTCCGAGAATCCAGCAGCGTCTTAGCCACGCTAAGGGGTTATTTTCCAGCGGCGCCTGGGCGATTTCGGCTCCCAGCCCGGCCGCTGGCCGTGTGGTTTGGGAGCTGTGTTGCTTACTCGCAGGCGGCCGGGGCGGAGCTCGGAAGCCGCGGTGTGGAACCGCTGTATGAAACCTGCGGGAGGGGGGGTGACGTCACACGCAAGGGGGCGGGGCGGGGGGCCGTGCCTGCAGCGCACATCAATTCCACCGTTTGAGGCGTTTTGGCCCCATTCAAGAACTACACGCTTGTAGTGCACCGGGGGTTTGGTGAAGCGGTAACAGCAGGAGCCACAACAACAACAATAATAATAATAATAATAATAAGACCAGTGTAAACAGCACGCTGCGCGGGCACTGTCCTCCGCTGGTTTTCCCGTCAAGAAGAACAATTAAGGGGCGGACCTACCGTGTGGACTGCAGCGAAGGCAGGAGCCCAGCAGCAGGGGAATAAGCCGTAAAAGTAAAAGCGAGCTTGTCCACAGGTACCGAACAGTCTCAAAGTGCATGGACATGCGGATATTGGGGGGGAGCCGAGAGCGCTGCGTCTGATTGATAGTTTCTGAGAAGAGCCGAGCACACCGAACAGCCATGTCCCGGAGGAAACAGAGCAAGCCCCGGCAGATCAAACGTAAGTTCCCACACTTTTCTGATACCAGGCAGCCTCCTGATCCGAGACCGTGCAGCGCCCCGGGATGTGGTCGCCGGGCTGGCCGGTGCCAGCGGGAGACGGGCTGGCCGGCTGGGTGCCTCGCTTGCCTGCGCCCTCCGTGTCTGGCTGGGGAACAGGCGCGACCCCGTGCCGCCAGCTGTGCACTGTCGGCACAGCTGTGCGCTGGATCCCTCGAGTACTGTCCATGTCCGGGCGTTTTGTGTGGTTTGGTAATACGCGCTGCACGGCTGGTAGGAGCGGAGGACGGCGGCGTGTGGAAGCGAAGTGTGAACTCCTGAAACAAGTTTCGGCACACGAGGACGCCGAGCCGCCCGGGAGTTGACGGTGAAACGCATTTAGTTCAAAGAGAACAGGGGGAATAAAAGTGCCTGCTTCTGGCTAAACCTTGAGCTAGATCAATAGTAGACGGAGAGGGAGAAATAAGTTACCGTGGGAGAGCTGTTTTCGTTTAGCGCGGGGGTGTGAGTGTGTGTGCTGAGCGACTTATTAAAAGCCAGCCTGTTGCCTTCCAATATCACAGATGCAAAATTTTGATAATCTGGTTTGAGACTAAATGTAATAACATCTGAAATATATATTATTAGACTCTCAACTTTGGCTCGCAGGCACACACACACACACGCAGAGACTTTTCAGATCGGTCTTCACTACAGTCTCATTTCGAGATGTCTGTTGGCGATAGTTGGAAAGCGGTTTTTATTTAAGCAGTCAGTGGGGGTAAGATGTACCTATCCTAACATTTGTAATGCCTTTTAAAATATATATATAAATGTTAGTGTTTGCACAGTTGATCTGCGTCTCCAGTTTCCTTTTATTCTGTTTTGAAAACGTCACTGTTCTCTGAAAAAAAAAGACGATGTGAAAGAAAGATAAGCTCAGATCTGATCGCAGCCCGGATAAAGATTAAAATTGGATCATTTTTATTTGTTTTCTGTCTGTGGCTGCTCCGAGGCTGGCGTTGCATTTTCACTGCCTTTTTCAGTTCTGGTTCCAAAAGATGGGGCCTTCCGATAACGCAGAGAGCTGATTTCACTTAGCGATAGCGATTACAATTGGATCTTTTTCATTTATCCCTTTAACTCTGTAATGTTCGCTGACTGCGCTCCCACACGCCTTTTCACAGTTGGCTAGGTCTCTGTTTGACAAGTCCTTCCTGCCTAGAAAATGTGCGACGCTTTATCGCAGCGTTGTGATCTCACAGTTGATAAAATTAAAAATAAAATTAATTTGACTTTTTTTTCTTTCTCTCTCTCTGAAAGGATTCAGCAGTGCTAAAAGCTTGGTATGCTTTGCTGCCAGTCCGTGTTTCAGTTCTGTTTCCAAAAATGATGCCTTGGTCTGATAAGTACAGTAGCAATATCTGGGAGGGTTGAGTCTGACAAGAACTGAAGAAAAAAAACATTTTCAGTCAAGTCAACGTGAGGGGCGAAAGGTCTTGGCAAAGAAATACATTTTCACATACGTTAACATTACAAACGAACAACTTGTTCTTCTTCAGAACAGTCGAGCAATAACAATTCTTTGGAAAGCTTGACTTTTCTCAAAGATGAAAAGATGAGCTGTAAAAATCCGCAAAGACGAAAGTTAAACTTTTTTTTAAAACCAAAAATGAACCGCCCCCCTCTTTAACAAAACATGATTTCTAGAGGGTTTATCAAAGAGCTTTGCTGAAAAACAAATAGCTACAGGTTGAATTGTCGCCCCGATACAAGCTGGGTTTTTAACACGGATGCTCGCTGATGCTACCTGCGGGGTGGTGGGGTTTAAGGAAATTTGAAGTTAAAAAGACTGAACGTGTCTTGATACCTGAGGGAGCCGTCACAGCAGGGGGCACAGTCGCTGGAGGTCATTGTTGGAATAAATTGCTTGTCATTTGCCTTTTTTCGAATATGTTATTTTGTCTATTTAAAACAAAAGAAAACACAGAGAAGGTCAGTGTCTGATAATATTAGTGTCCCAGAGCTACGGGACATGTTAACAAAGGGGGCGTGAGCTTGGTGCTGAAAAATGCGTATTTGTATTCACTAGGCGCCAAATACTACCCCGGCAAGCTTCAAAAAAACGTATATGACAGGGGAAGGAAGCTGCCGTGTTTAGTTTATTGTGGCGTTTCTTTGCCTGCCGTTTTTCTTAGGTCCAATCTATTCCAAGCCGGTCAAAGTTCATGCCAGTAGCACTTCAGTTAACAACGACTGGCTCTGTTGTTTGTGCAGGAAATCCAGCGATGGTATTGTATAGGCAGGGCAGAGTGAAATCAGCGTGGCAGCCCTGATGGTACTGTACCTGTAATTCATAGTTGTGCGTTGCTGACCTCTGCTGCTTCCTGTTCCTTTTGCAGGTGTCCTGTGTGTCCAGTCTTCCTCTTTTTAATGTGTATTAACCTCACCTTAAACCTGAAGGAGAGGCTGCCACAGCTTTGCTTTCTTCTGCTGCCCTCTGTTTTCAGCTACATTATTTTGTTGTAGTTGGATCTTTGTTCTGAAGCTGTTGTGATGCAATTGGCTTTTTGGACAAAATCCTGTTTTATCTATCCAGAATTAAGATAGTATCTGATTGGTGGGTTAAATTGTAGGAACCTTGTCCTCCTGCTTTTGAACTGTGTGTGAGGTGCTTATTGATTAAAACAGCACTGAACAATATAGGCAGATTTTGTTTTACAAGCATCCTAGCATCAGATGTACAGGGAAATGTGAAGAAACAGAAGGGGGACAAATGGTATTTGACCACAGAACCAGGGTGTTGTGTTTCAGGCGGTCTAAAAACACACCAGGTGTCCGAAGATGATCTTTTGTTGTAAGAGTATCTAGCATTAAAACATTTTCTGCACTCCACTGCAGTTAAGTAGGCATTAGAACCTTATAAGTGTGCTAAATTAGCACACAAATTAGCACTGTTATAAAAAAAAACTGAAGACGTCTTGCAGATCCGTTGTCGAAGTTCTTTATTTTGCGTACATTGTTAATTTTGCAGCATTTCCATACTCTTAAAAGACTGCTGTGGGCCTGTAGCTAGGTGTCAGTCCCTTCCCAAGTTCTATTTTTCCCTATTATATATTTTTTAAGCACAAATAATAGAGTTTATAGACCTGTAATCAATTTGCTAATCGCACTAGCCTAATTGAGCATTCAACACAAGTCATAATGCTTTAGCTAGCTGTGTTACATTATGGATCATGATATTGACTGGTTACCCTGAATTAGCAGATGGTAGCATTAGTCAGAAGACACATGTTTGTATATGTGTATACACACGATTGTGCTTACTCAAATATGCCTCATTTACTTGAAGGAAAGATTGCAGTAGATGATATTTACCCCCTGAACTAATAATGAAATGCTTTAACATAAAAACCCCAAGCTTCCTGCTATGAGTTCTATTTTCTGTCAGTTAGATGTTGAAGCTAGATAAGTGGGGTGGTGATCACTCAGCAGATAGGTTTCTGAGGCTGATGGGAGAGATTAAAATGGAATGCGAATTTTTAATTGCAGAGGCCAGCGTTCTCATCTTTTGTCATTTTGGTTAGAATTGGCTTTGGCATATCTAGATAAGTTGAAGTAAAATAAAAAATAAAAAGTAGATAAGAGTAGAATGGGATGGCAACTCAGATAACGCAAAAAAATGTCCAGACTTGAGAAACACAGTATACTTTTCTGCCTTGCCTTTGCAGTGCCTTCAGTTAGATCCATCACACTGATAAGTCTTGCAGCTGATTGAATAGAGATAGTGACAGCTTACCCTAGCAACAACTACCAAAAGAACAGAGGGTGAAAAAAAATAGAGCTTGGTGAATTTTTCTAGCCCACAACTCCCCCTTCACCAGCCTTGCTTTTAGCTGGGTTCAGGAATTTGGTCTAGCTGTCTGGTCCAAATAACATTATTTCCTTCTATCTTATTTTTTTTCCTGTCTATGTGCGTCTGCTTCGAAGTACTGACTTCAGCTTTTTCTGCTCTGTGTTTCTTTGTTTTTCTGTGAACTACAGATAGAAGAGAGGGCAGATTTATGTTCTGATAAAAAAACAGATGTGACTAAAACTGAATATATATATGTGTGTGTGTGTATAATAGTTGTCTGCGATTTTTGATTATACACACTTGATCGGGCCACAGTTTTAGGTTCGCTTCACGCACTGTGTGGTGGTTGCATAGTTTTAAAGATTGAGGGTTTTTTTTAATTTAGAAATTTCATGAGAAAACAAGAAAAACCTCACGCAGCTGCTTTGCTTTGGCTGTGTTTTTTTTTCCTTCTTTGTTCTGCTTTTAGCTCGATGTGAACTTTTGATAAGCCCTCAGGCCTGATCGCAGCACAGATAATGATTGCCAACTCAGATAAGAGTTCTTATCTCACTCAAACAGACTGGAGAGGGACTCCACTACAATAACAAAGCGAAGAGAAACAGCAAACTAGTGCTTTGGCAATTTGTTCCACTGCTAATGTGATTAATGCTGTTGTATAATTAGATGATAGGTGTGAATGCATTTTACTCTATCACTCCCTCTTTTTCTTTACATGCATTGTACTACATTAATTTAATTAAAACTAATACCACGTATTACTAACTCTAGATTTCATGTCAGATACAGCTAAGATAGGGACTTTTTTCTTGATAATTATCTCAAGAGTTTTTTAGTTCTTAAAAAAAAAGCTTTGTGCATGCAGAAAAAAACAGCAGCGCAAGCAGCAGGCTTATTTTGCTGATAATGTACTGCGATATTAGATGGTGAGCGATATTTCTAACATGTTTTTTTCTCGATAAAGTACCATTTCTTCCTGTTCTTCTGATTTTTGTGTTTTTTTTTCTTAAAGTTTTCATATTAATGTATCATTCGGCGGAAAACAAAGTATAAATCCTTCCATAAGGAAATGGGAGTGGGGTGTGGGCAGGCAAGGTAGTGGTGTGGGGTGGCAGAGGGGAGTGAATCGCAGATGAATTCAAGAGGGAAGAGTTATTTTTGAAGAG